AAATGAATAGTCATATAAATAAATAAATAAACTTACGGCTAGTATCACATTTCCGTCGATAATATCTATAGCAGCATCTAACAACTGAATTTTTTCTTCTTTGGATCGATACCATTCTAAAGACACCGGATCACCCTTGAGCAGTCGACGTACAGCTTCTTTTACGTCAGGGGCGCGATAACGATCGTGACGAACTGCCTGACAAATACGATCATGAGTTTGCAATGCATAGAAATTTCCCCAACTTTAATTATTGCCAATGCCATGTATCACTGAAAACTACCGCACGCATTGAACACTTCTATGCTACGGCCCTTTATCGTGATTTTCATGATTTAGCACAATTTCTGGACGCAGCCGTCAATGATTCTAGACAAGCGCGTGAAAACATTGTGCAGAAGTACTGAAGGTACTGGATATGAAAATAAAACAAAATTTAACCTCCAGATGACGCTGTAGTTTACGGTGTTCTGCTTTGAGTCGGGAATAATCGAGATCGAGACGATGCGCATCACTTGGTAAACTGCTAACACTACATTCTGATATGACAGAAGCAGCTGAGGGACCTCCAGCGTGCAATGGCGATGATTCTACCTTAAACAACGGTAGATGAAATATACTGGAACTTTACACGCCATAGAAGAATGGATAATTTTTTAAAGGTAAATTTCGAAGGTTGCCTAGAACATGAAAAAGAAAGTCATGCAGGCAAGAATCTGTTTTGCGCTGGTGAAATAGCCGTTGATGCAAACCAACCGGTCTGCATCAACGGCTATTTCATATACACTTTCGAAGGAGCCGTGAGGTTGCTTTGCTCCTGATTCTACAATTTTATAAGATAGGTATAAGTTGGTATAAGTTCATTTTGATGACTGAGGGCGCGTTTATACTTTCACGTGCGATTCAGTCCACACTTTTCCACTAGCCGCTGGACAGGTGGAATGGTCAAAACAAGTCGTAAATGCTCTTATCATCGGTGAACAGCAGTGTGAACGAATAAGTAGTTATATCAGTCCAAGGACTGACAACGTAGCGCACGAGTCGTAAAGTGTGAACGCAGCCAAACGAAGATCTAAAAAAAATCAAACGGAAATGACAAAAATGACGCACTTCGAGCTTGAAATCTGCCTTCTTGTTATTGATAAACTCCACAACAGCTTCTTTCGTCTGAATGTTGTTGTCCCTGAAACTTCTAATATAGTGAGGAGATAGAACATTCGAAGGACAAACGCAAGAAATACTAGGAAATCACGCTAATTTTACAGCACAGCTGCTCATGCATGAAAAGGTAACAGAAATCCATCGAGGTTCTGGAGAACCACAAATGCGAGACCTTTCTGTGGAGGGCGCGCTAGCTCCACATATATTCACATTTTATCAGGGCATATCGTGACCTTGCATGACTCGTCAATGACATGTTTTCATTCAACGATCCACCCCTTTAACATCTCTCTGATCTTTTGTAGCGGTTTGTGGGGACATTCTTCTGGTCCTTGTCGATCACTACTGATGCCTCCTGTAAACTCCTGTATAGCTCTGCAGTAGCACGAGCTTCTTTTACACTTGGCAAAAAGTACGGGCCTCACTAAGGTGAACGTGTAAGCTAAAACTAATGAAAGAAGCTAGCTAGTCAAAAAAAACCCCACTCCCTTACGTCTGGAAAGCGATGATTTCTTGAAGATTGACGGCATTTAATGTTAGAGGGCGAGGGTTTCTGTAAGTGAATCACATCTTTTGCAGGAAAAGCAGTTTCCTCATTCGGCGGAAAGTGTCCCATCATCTCCGGAGCTTCTCCCCTTCCCACGTTAATGGCATGGTGGGACGTGGCCCTCCTGCGTAACATATTGGAATTCGCACCTGTGAAGGCGCAAAGCCGGAATGAAATATAGTGTATCACATGGAAAGAAACTAACCCAGCGGCATTATTTATTGGCTTAGGTAGAGTGGATGCTTGCTGAGAGACTTTCGCAGAAAACACCTCTCGTTGTTCGAATAAGTTATCCACTGCTGCACGAGCGGCCCACTGCAATGATAACCTGATAATGCAAAAAGATAAACCCCGTTGAAACAAAGAAGCTTCTGAAGTCTAATGGCAAGCAGCAACATTTAAACAAGGACAGAAGGAGCAAAAATAAAATATCTTTAAATTACCTGTTTCGATGGAAGATCATCGAATAGAGACGATGAATTTGAACCACTTTCATTCCAATAGCTATCTTCCGGATCGTCGAATGTGAATTTCTTTTGATATGTGCCATTCAGATGAATGAATCCGCAGGTAATTATGTTGAGCAAATCATTAATATGACACACAATTCTCTGGAATTTTTCATATAACTGCACTGTTTAATAATATCGTGATGTTTTCGGCGGATAAGGAAGGAAATGTATGGATCGTATTCCTGGTTCGTGGAGAAATCTGAGATGAATCAAAAGAATATTATCAAGGAGGATAGTGCGCAACAGCAATGTAGAAGGAAATGAGCCCAGGAAGGTTGGATATCGACGATGATGTGGGAAAATCACGCACACCGCTGGACGCGACGTTGCCGCGCGAGCGTGCGAATTCGCGTCGCGGTAGTGCGACGTTACGCACGCTTCCGAACATGGCACAGCATCGTGATGTGTTAAATGGTGGTGTCAGTACGAACCCCCCCCCCCCGCTCGGAGGGGGTCTTGGTGCGACCCTTGCCGAAGGGAGGGTGTCTGTATGACCCCCTTTCCCATCACTTACCTACCACTTTCCTACAGGTTCCCAGCTTCCTACCATTTTTTTTGGGAATCCCGAAAATTTTTGTGTTGAGCGGGGGAGGGAATATGGTCAGTGTGAAACGGGAAGAACCGCGAAAAGTCAAGAATCGGGAAAAATTTTTCCCAACGCGGCAAATTTCTCTCAAAGGCACATACGACCCCCCTCTCCCACCAACGACCAGATACGACCTTCCCAGCGGCCAAGAATGACTCCCCCCTCCCATGTATTTCCCACAACGATGCTGTACCCTGCTTCCGAGGCAGACATTATTGCAGAGACGATGGGATTATCTCATTTATCTCATTCAGGTCGCGTCCAGCCCTTGGGGAAACATTTTACAAAATACGACCACAGCTTCTGAATCTCTCCCTCTGGGTTGACCCGTTTCTCCATCATCTTCCAGAATTTTTCCAGCTTACTACGAGTTCTGCGGAGTTTTCTTCCTGGGAAATCCTCTATTTTTTCCCAAAAAACTGAAAACACAGCTATCAAGCGGATGAGGGGCTTAATAGCACATCTGAAACATGGAGAACAAAGAAACAACCAAAAAACTTCACGAGAGCAGGTACGGTCCCTCCCCTCCACTACCAAATACGACCCCCACCTCCACTGGGATTCCAACGTTCGACGTGCCCTGATCTCAGTACCGGGACCATTTGACAGCAGCTTTTACCACACTCCGGACCGCGTGACACACATGTGTGTCACGATCTACAGAAGTTAAAAATTCAGTGTTCTGATTGTAGCGCAAATCCTTTGTGTTGTTATATATCCCTGTACGTGTACGAGTTGTTGCATATGGTTGGTTGAAAAGCTCCAGTGATTCACTTGTAGAACAATATTCTGAAAGACAGCCTTTCATGGACCCATCATGCTCTCGAAAGCATCGCACACAGAACAAGTTACTGTGGGCTGAATTACTGAGTACATTTGGTGTCCCGATCGCGATTGTGACACACTCTTAATGTACACATTTACGCGTTGGCTCCATCCAGTGCCACGGTCTCTATCACCAAATTCAATACAAAAGAGATGTGTTAGGGGTGAGGGTGGTCAAGGATGCTAATTCCAGATGCAACATTCGTTTTAAGTCTGGCGTCACAAGGCGACACTTTACGTCGGACTGGCGCCAGTTAGGGCCAAATTGCGCCCGTCTCGAAAATGTATATCATAACCGTGATTGCGATCCTTAAATACTCCCAAGTGTAAAACTCCCAAGTGGTGTGATTTTAACTACCAAGGCTGAAAACAATTACGGCGCCCGTTTGACTCCCGGTAGCGTCAAATGGCGTCCTCGCTAAAAGGTTCTCGGACTGAAGTCATAAAAAAATTAACCATGACTGAAACCCCACGTGGTCTCGTGGCACACATGGTGTGTCACGCGTGTGCTGGCACTTGGACGTGGCGGACATGGGGCTGTGCTTTTGCGGCATATTGTCGTTTCGGGACAATCCTAGCCATTCCCAGCGGAGACAATCTGGTAGTTGTCTAGAATTTGAATGTCACACGAAAAAAGCATCTTACCCCATGGTCGAATGAAATTCGCAGCCCTTCCCATCGCCAGGGTATGGTGTGTACATTCACGAGGCTAAAAGGTTTTCAGATGTCTGAAACCCTTTCTTTACCTGCCTCTCGAATTAGGCAGAGGCGTCTGTCTTTTCGCTCACCCGGAACCGAAAAAAATTCGGTGCTCCTCGCGTTCGGGAGCGGGGGGAGGTAGGTTGGCGGGAAAGTTCTGTCACTTTTCGAACTCAAAATATTTGTCCATTACCTGAAGAGGGGTGAACGGTAATGTGAGCACTTATACATCAAAGAGTGGTCTTTCTATTAGTACCACTCGCTTGATTCCTGCTTCTTCTTCTTCTGCAATATGGACAAGAATGTTATCCGCTACCATCGCCACCGACCCCTCCAAATGCTTCTGATAGTGCAGCGCACTTCCAAAAAAGTTCTAGCCGTTCCTCATGCAATAGAGCTGGATGGCTCTCCCCTTGCAGTGGTGTAGCACAGACATTGCTCCTTCTAACTGCGAGTTGCCTCCCGTAATCAATCATTATGTGGACGAGAAATTACGAGAAAACCTCGAAAAGTCTGAGTTCAAGCCAAGATTGAGATGATGTCCAACTTTGTATCGCGCCTCCCTGCATTGTGAAGCGATGGCATCCATGAGGTGCTCAAAAACAGGCAAGGACCCCGCAGTAACATTGCTGTACAATTTTGATCTTACACGCCTCTCTATAAAAAGAAAGCTCAATTTGAAAAAGTGAAGAACTTTCCCTCCAACCTAATACCTACGTTATGATGCCAGGTGAATGATGGCAGTTTGGTAATTACATAAGTGATCTCTTCGAAATTGGATGAATCAACTACTCAAATTCCGTTTGATTTTCTATATAATTCTGCGCGTACACGTAGCAGGGAAGGGGGTTGACTGCAACCTGAACATTTCCTATGAAGCAATAGTAGTCCCAGGCAGCTATGGCGGACCACGAGGAACGAATCGAACTGCTTAGCGGGCATCGTTTCTAGCCGGGGCTTGCGTTAGAGCATTCGAGTAGCGAGAATAAAATTGATCCGTGTGAGAAAATACAATCTAATTCAAATAAACTATACACCCACGTCCGCGGATCCCGGTCCTTATGTGTGAGGTGGTCTGCAGCCGCACTACCTACCGGCTGCGTTCCCGTGCACTTTTGCGGGAACGCAGCTGGAGCGCCATACCCGCGTGTTGTCTCCATACTCCGCCTGCGCTATCCTAAATATGCAGCGCTTGTGTCAATACCAAGGTCCCACAGAGAAACACGCACTCAGTGGTGTGTGTTTCTCTGTGGGAACTTTACCGTAGCCAGACGCGCTACCTTCCTGCGTCCTCTCACTTCTGATTCTTCTCTACCACTGACAATGAGTGCGTGTTTCTCTGTGGGATCTTGGTATTAACGCAAACGCTGCATATTCAGGATAGCGTAGGCGGAGTAGGGAGACAGCCCGCGGGTATGGCCCTCCAGCTGCTTCACGTGCATTTTTCAAGTGAAGAAAATTTCAGGCTACTGCAGCTGCGCACCCATTCACCTGCCCCCCCCCCCCCCCCACCCACGGCGCAACCAACCTTAAAGGTGACTTATGAAACATTTGAGTGATCTCTGAAACATCAGGCGCGACGATTGCTTGGATGAAATGTTCACCTCACAACGGCAGGTGTTCTGGTGCGCATGACGAAACCAATTAGTTGCTTCGAGTAGATATTCCACTGAAGTACCTTCTACCTAGTAAGCCTTGTTGAGTCCCTTCAATGATCGAATGCGATGATTTTGACCTTAGCACTAGTTTCTACCTGATCTTCATGCATTCGCTTTCTGTTGTGGCAGTTCCTTTGAATGTGCTGAGTATATTCTGTATTCTCTACAAGTCAACGAAGCAAATGGGGTCTTATAAATGGTATTTGCTGGTCTACCAGCTGACATCGACCGTATTCGATCTTGTTTACCTGGCACTCACTTTGCCGATAATATTCTTCCCAATACCAATGGGTTATCCTGCTTCATGGATTGCGCCATGGATTTCCATCACTACACACTTTTCAGTTTTGTTGGTTGTTCACATAGGTTCATTTTTTGGTGCTACCATCGTCAGCCTGTTTATATACCGGTGCCATGTTATCACTCCGACCCTTCATTTCTCGAGAATCAACAGTCGCGGTTAGTGGGTAAAGTTTGAGCCGTAGAGTAAGGAAGCAGTAGAGTAAGGAAGCAGTACTCCCTACCTTATATAATGGGCTCCTGTAGGGCTACTTTGTACTAGTCGAGTGAGCTCGCACCTGCGCCGCCTTCAGGAAGGATGGTGCCAAGCCAGTAGCCCGTTGGTTTCAGCGCTTGTAAGCTGGAGTTAGCACAAAGAGGCGGAGGGATTGCGGGATGTTGTCTGAATACCCACGCATCCCACTCCGCAGACCTAGATCCTTTCAGCATTACCTCTTCGTGCCTCTAAAGCAGTTCGTTTCTGTGAAAGGGTTTGTTGATCTCCGTGGTCTCGACATAGCTGTCTCTAAACTTTCTTCCAAGAATTCCCATTGCAAAAATGGCCAAAATTTGAATGTCCTGTAAAAACTCATTTTGAAAGGCTTTGGCGCAGCCATACCTTGATAAGAAATGAAGAAAAAAAAACGACTGATCTTGGAACTGTCTATGATAGCCTCATTCAGGTCATATCTACAAGAATGCTACCATATTTCTAATCTATATTGTTCCTGTTTTTGCTACTTCGTTCGATTTTTTGCCTGACCAAGTGGAGGCGAGGATATGGGCAGAAAAGGTGATTCTCAATGGCATTATCTTCTAGAAAGGTATGATCTCAACTGGATGTGAAAGAACGAGGAGCCAAGTTGGGCTGCTCATACGGCGCTGTAATGGTCGAATCGTATCATTTAGAGCAACCCTGCGGACCCTGCACCCTTTAGCCTTAGCACACGCTTATATTTGCGGTACGCGTAATGCCACATTATCCAGGCTT